TTATTGTTTAATTGCAGCTTCTGGACTGTCGCGTTGAAGGCGGAAGTTTGTAGGGAATGTTCCTTGACAATTCTCGGTGAGTCATTAATCTTCTAAAAAAATCGTTAATTGCACCGTTTTGCAAGTCAGTAAATAATTAACATACTGTATGACAAAGTGTAATATGACTTTTGCTGGAGACCATTAATATAATAACAAACGATATTATATGGAATTACGAAATAATATTATATTACACTGGGAGAAAAGTGTTTGTGAGTATAATTGCATAGTAAAGTAGTTATAATTAAAAACTTTATTTTTATAATTATATTATTATAATAAAAATGTTAGTAAAAACAATTATAATTATCTACATATAAAAAAATATATGTAGTTAGCAAAAGATGACTATAAATTTATTATAATCATCGTGCTATTTGTTTTTTGTATGTAAATAATAATCATTATTACTGTACATTATGAAGGAACAATTATAAAAATGAAACGCCATTATTATTTTATCAATTATAGTTACAAATACTTTTCTCTTGCAATGTAAAAATTTAAAATGTTATATGTAATAGTTTTACACAACTATTACTATTTTTAGGATATAATTAATTAAAAGATAATAATGTTCTACTTTGGGCGAATTTTCTTTCTGTCTTGCTGGTTGGTGATTTTGTGAGCAACCGTAAATGTCCATTCTGTCAGCAATGCAGCATTCGTGTCCAGATGATACGCAAGTTTGACGAATGTTTCTTTCCCGTGGATTGATGTGGCGCTCTTGTAACTTTGGAGAAATCCTCTCGAAACATGTTCGATTTCCGGTAGGAAATTTATTCGAATTACACGTCGCCGTACACTGTATATCAAAGATCAAAATGAACATGATCGACATGATCTAGATTTTATTGTAGAAGATTATTATTCTAGAAGAAATTTTTATTTCGGATAATATAAAAGTGCGATCGAACCTGATTATAAAACTCATTTGGACATCCCGCAAATCTGTCGCGTTCGATGAGAGGTGTTAATATTCTGGCCCTCATTAATTCCCTCTCAATCGCTGCATAATTTTCATTGATCTGCCTTATATAATTTCTAAGTAAAACGTTATGTCTGGCTGCATCACTGTTGCACAACGATTGGTGAAATCCGTTATGAGGTTGTGTATAATGAGGTGTTATGTTACCGCTGGCGTCACTAACAATTTATATTATTAAACTACTGGATAATAATTTAAAAGGAAAAAGTCATAAACAAAAAGTTGCCTCTACTTCAGATTAATATAATTACCTAATATAATTAACGTAAATTGTTACATTACATTAATTTGTTACATTAAAATAATAAAATCTTTATTCCACTTTTAACGAGAAAAAAATATATAAGAAAAATAATAGCTTTATTGAGGTAGAGAAGAAACTATAAATTGCATATTTAAAGGGACAAAAAAGTACATTCGGAAAGAACTCTCAAAAAGATGAAACTGCTTTCTATGTCTCAAAATAGAGTAGATATAGTAAGCCTTAAGGAATTAATTAATTATAGTCGAATGTGGAAAGAATTAATACTCGACTATATGATTAGTATGATTGATATATCAGTTTCTTAAGATTTAAGGCTTACATCTATTGCATTTTGGAACTATAAGCCCAGACTTTGTAAAATATTTTGTATAATAATTTGATGTATACATAATTTTCAAGATATAAAATGAAAAGTAATCCTTATTAAGAGACAAGTCTCCAAGAGAGAGAGAGAGAGGAAGAATATGAATTACAGTTGACAGGTTTCCTCCGATTCCAAGCGATTGTCATTGTCGAAAATGGTAAAGCTCACATTGACTCGCAACCCTTGATTTGACGGCAGAGACAGAGAGGATAGATGTCTCATTAAGTGATTAGCGCGCAGCAATTCTGGAAGACGTATATCATAGCTTTGATTTGGCGTGAGCAATCGATCCCAATAATTGCAGAGAAATTCAAGATCGTGTCGAGTTCTCCGATAAAGATTGTCCGTTGGTTGTAAATAGATCGATCGTTTCGGCATTTTTACGTTTCGTAATAGAGTAACTGAGAATTTCGAGAGATTCGCATTGGCCTAAAAATATGTGATTGTAGGTTGTGAATTTTTTTTCGCTTAGATCGTTATTTGTTCTCTTGGCCACGTCGATCACGCGACTCCATTTTTCTGCAACTTGAAATTATTTCTTTGCATGACTGACAGTTGCTCCACTTGGCGTTTACAATGTTCTTGGAATCATTTCATCCTTGTTGTTTATCAAATATTAAACGACAAATGATATTCACGAGTGTGTGAGCGCCAAATGGGATGCATTTTTAATATCCAACTATATTTTATTTTTATGCTGATTACAGTATAGTCTTAAATTTTTTACTCTTCCAGTCGTTATTTGATTTTTGAAATTTATAAATCTTTTTACTAACAAATCTTTTTTTCTAAAAATAGCCAAATATAAAAAATAACAATAATTAATTTTTTTCTATAAGATAAAGTTTAGGTACAATAATATTGCTTTCGTAAAAATTGCACTGTAGTGGCATTATGTATCATATCTTGAATACGTCTTGTTTAATGTCATTCTCTAATTGAAGTTTACATGATTTTTTTCGTCTCTAATTGGCAAGTAATGAATATAAAATAAATTACCGACGAAATATATAAAATGTATGAAACTCGTTAGTTTGGAATATCAATAAACATCCTGCGATTTTATCGATATTTTTTAACGATATGTTGAATCATAGAAATGGAAATGTGCGATCGAAATTTATGCCGTGACCGTGTGAACATCATTCGCTGCTTCCTGTGTATATTTTCACAACGGCGCGAGCGGTCTGATTAATGGTTACATATATACAGAAAAACGATATTCGCGTGAACAAACTATAAAGCTATGTTTGTATTATAGTCGTTTTTTTGTCTAATTTGTAAAAAAAATCTTTGTGATTTCTTTTATATTAAAAAACCTGGTAAAAATGAAAGAACATTAATAGATTCATTCAGGACTGCTACTATATTTAATCATTGTATTTAACTGCCGTATTTCTGAGTTGGAGTTGGCCACTATGCTACATTATATGATAATTTGAAGATGCTAATATTAGCTATTGATGGTGAAGCCAATATTGTCAATTTATGAAGCTGTCAAGGCGCTGTCAATATCGGTTATTCATGGGACTGCCAATGCGCTGCCAATATTGACATTTCATCATATTACAATGCGCTACTAATATTGGATATTGATGAAAATGTCTACAATTCCAATAATGGCTGTTCATTGAATGCCGATGTGGTGCCATCATCAATACTGGCAACTCATGGGTCTGCCAATGCGTTACCAATATTGGCTATTCATGAAATGCTAATACGCTGCTTATATTGCACGCTCATGATGATGCTAATGGATGCTTTTATTTGATGACACAGTCGACACATACATGTATCATTCTTGCCATTTAGTGAGTAACACGGACAGAATGACTACACTTGTGTCACCAAATGGAAAGCAATATTAGGTTCCGATAGTGGATTTCTAATTTTACATTGCATTAGCTTATATTATTATTTATCTCATTAATAAATAATAAGACTCTGTAAGTATAAAATAATATATGCAAAAGAAGGGCAAAGAGCCAGTAATGTAGCAACAAACTTTAATTTAAATTCAATCATAAAATTCATATAATAATTACAAACGATAAACGTTTCGACTCCGCTCGAGTCATTTTTAATGTTGCGGTAATATTCAAACATCGCTATAAACTAAAAATATCTATGGTATTACAAAAATCATAATAAGTCTAAATTACGTGTTCTTCATATTGTGCCTTGCGAGTCAGTTATATCGGAATTCAAAGTAGTCAGATAAACAATATTCTTGTCAATAATATCGGTAAAAGTGTTGAGAGTCCATTAATAAAAAAGAGAGAAAACGCAAGTAGATGGTAATCCATATTGTGATAGAATACATTGGTTTTTTAATTGAAGCAAATTTGCAAAAGTAAGGAACATTTGACGATGTCGAATAACGCAATCTCTTTATCTCATTATTTTACTTTATTTTATTATTTTTTAATATATCTCTTAATTTTTGATAGGAAAAGAAGTATAAATAATAAATAGTAAATTAACTCTGTTTTTAAATTCTACATTGAAATAAAAAATCACAAAATTTGAATAAATATTTGTTTAGATAGTATTAATAAGACCATTTGCTTACAAAAAATAAATTATTATATTTATTTTATTTAAAAAAATGATATTTAAATTAAGTATAATTTTTTTAATTGAACAAATATTTCTTTCCTGTAAATAAATTGCCATTGAGTACACAAATTCTACATTTTGCATACTCGGTGGAAATTTTTCTATATAAAAAAATAAATATGAACATATAATACATGTACAATTATATATGAAATATGTAATATCTATATATTCTTCTTTCTTTTGTAAAATTTTTTTTTCTTGTACCAATAAACAGAAAATTCTAATTTTACTGCCATAGCAAATAGTCACATTTACGTCATAATAGAGTTACAATAGTCAGAAAAAAAATATAATGTCACTGTGATCATAATAAAATAACACATGTTACAAAGACATTCGCAGATTATATATTATGTTCATATAAGATATTATATGCATATGAGTATATATATTTATATATGCTTTTATATAAAAAAATTTTTACCAGGAATGTTATTTTAAAAAATTTTTATGCTAAAATTTAGCAGAAATATAGATTAAAATTTTCGATGCTGCATATATATGAAAAACATCGTTATATTTTTATTTTAATAAAAATACGAAGAACAATATTTTTATGCAAACAAACGGTGGAATTTTTAAAAGCTTACATAAAAATTGCACGTTGCATTGAGATTATACTTATACTAGTTATTCTTTTATTACATCCCGACAACTCTATAAGTCCCAGGTTGAGAACCACTGCTCGAAGGAACGACGCCATGTTGCGTGACGCGCTGTGATAAAAAAATATCAAAATTCGACGATGGCACTTGATGACGCTATTCGAGCAGATAGAAATATGACAGAACGGTAAGAGTCGAGATGTCACCATCGTGTTTTTTTCAATGTATTTGACAAGATTGTGTGGCACAGTCGTATTTGAAGTGACTTCGGGATGTGCCGTATATTACAATCGATAAGATACGCGAGTTTTCGGCTATCATATGCCGCCAGCTTGTCGCCGCGGATGTAAACATAACCTAATTCTAACCTAGAGACGCAATCGCAATCTTTCCTACCGCTGACATCGCTTCTTTTCCGTGAGTATCCTAGAAATCCTAATCTTTAACTCGAACCTGACTTTATCCTGTTCTTAACCATGTATCAGATTCCGTATACTTGTGTTTAAGTATTTAAAATGCTCGCGAAGGTGCTTGTAACATATCTACTCCTAATTTCGAGATTACTTATATGTGTGTGTGTGTGTGTGTGTGTGTGCGGCTGTTATTAACGAATTCTTTTAATTGATCGAAATTTAATTGTTACTTCTCTCGTTTCTTGTTACATTAAAACATTTATTGCGTAATATATATATATATATATGACTGTCATTGACGTTGCTGTGCATGCAGTGCGATTTGCTGCGCATTTGTGCGAACGTCGTAAAACGTCGAGGTCGCGTGTTACGCGGCACGTCAGTTGATTTTTCCAAAGTTGACTTTTTACATTACATTCCATGCAGTAGTTGGAATACACGTATAGAAACAGTATTTAATCAATTGCGATTGGCAACGAGCAGTGTTGTTTTACCGGGAACGTCCCTATCATGTTTTTAATGTACATACATATATACATCCGATGTAGATTACGTGGATTATATACTTAGCTGTAATCCATCATCCCTTCTTTTTGAGCTTTACTTTGACTCATCCTAAGATGTATTAATGACAGACAAATAATGCCCAGAGAAATATATCAATAAGAAGGATCTAAAGAGAATTGGCTTGTCTAGGTAGAAGTGCTGCTTTTTGTAATATTTCTTTTGAATTACTTTCTCTTTTTAATGTTTTTGAGTGTTGTTTTTTATCACTGATTGTAATGATGGATTGTAAAACTCAAAATTAAATAAGTGTGAAATTATTGTGTGGGTTGGCACCAATCTTTCTTGTCTCTGAGTATCTTATACCGTTGGTTCCTTCGACTTTCATTTGTGGAAGCATGTGATTCCAAGGATGAGGAAGAGTTTTCGTTTATAAGATATTAATTGTTTGTAAATATTAGTAGATATTAAAGGTGTGTAATTTTTGTTTGTATTTTATTAATGTATTTTATTAATTATACATGTTATTGTTAGGTGTGATCATATTTATTTAAGAAAGTAGGTTTAAATTGTTGTTATGACAATTTGTTTAGGATATATGATACTTTATGAGTATCTTTTGATCGACCCGTTAAGATGGAAGACGAGGAGTGCTTTCAACCAGTCTTGAGCTCTCAGGAGGAAGATAATTTTCAGCAATTAAATACCGTGTCGGTTGTGTCGATTTCACTTTTACTTGGAGTAGGTATATCTTGCTTGGTGTAATATATCTTTAGATTTTAAGAATAATTAAAGGTCAGTTTGGATACATTGGAGTAACTTTTGTATCATAGGTTTTATTGGAGATCACTGGGATTGTATTTGTATCTATTTGGCCAAAGGAACAGAACAAATGTGACACGTATTTTATATACTTATATCTTCACTGCGCCTATTGGCTAATAGTCATGGCGATAGATCACATTGTCAAAGCGAGACACCATAATTTGCGTATTAATGGATACCTAGATTTCTATCAATCAACATATCAACTTATAAGGACGCCCCTTTTCATTGCGTCGTTATGGAGTACATGCTACTTATTGCTCGCTGTGATTCTACATCACACACATAAAGTTGACTACGAGCAGTATTGCAGAAAGTCAGAGTGGTTCACGCCGCTTAACTATATTTTTCTCCTAACCACTTTGGAACTCATGATAATCTTACCAGCTTACATTAATTATATCAGTAAGTATCTTGCAAAGGTAGAATATGTGTGTGTTTAGAGAGAATTAATTAGCTCCATAAAAAAAAGTTTTTATAGAAAAATAATTTTCTTGGGCTTTTATGTAATATTACAGACGTAAAATTTATATAAAGCGAAATATAAAAATTATTAAATATAATTTTGAGATTTTATCAAGATTCCTTTCTCAGAGAAAGAAAATGGTTTGTTTGAGGATTAAGATATTTATACTGTGAACCTTAAGTAATAACTGCACTAACATATTAAACTCTCAAAAGTTATCATCCTTTATTGCAATCTATCAATATTTGTTTCTCACGTAGAGAGAGTTATGAAGTTTAATCGTTTACGTCCATCGCCCGATGTCACTCGCGACGAATGGCTGTCGCCCTTTACGCAGGATTCTTACTCCGGAATGGGGGAAATCGGGTATCGGCAAAAGGGGAGGAATTTGGAGGAACTGCTGGAAAAGCAGGCGGACATGATAAGATATCTGAAGGATCACAATGTAAAGCTAAGTCATACAATAATGCTATTAGCGTCTCAACACAGAGCGACAGAGACATAAAGCAAAACTGATTACATATCTCTTTTATGAAATTGACGCTTATTATTATCTATAATAATAGTAACGTTATATCGGAGATTAGAATTATAATTTTTTAAATGTGATACATATGACATGTCTTTTCATGAATTCGATTGATTCGATCACAGATTTTATACTAGTATTAGATTACTAATTTCGACAAAAACGCTGTAAACAGTCGGATATCCGATTGAGTTCAATAACTCCAATCATTTTGCACATAAACAACATATACACATCGTATACATATATATAACACATATATTGTCGCTGCCATTAAATTAACTCAGAAGTTAGCGATCTAGTACTAGTATCTGTGGGTCCGATACACATTAGATATAATAATTGAATTTCGGTATACAATACACATAATAAATGTACATATATTTAGAAAAGTTATTACTGCATAAGTTTGCTAAAAAGTTACTTCATAGCTGTTTAATTAATCATTTTATGATTGGTAAAATACAATATTTTAAATTGTACAAAATATGTTTTTTTTATAATAATAATATACTATTTAAAGACATGTTTAAAAGAAACACTACATCTTATTCATTTTAAATAAAACATTAGTCTTTGCCAATCTTTAGTCAGTCGTAAGTTCTTTCTGTTTCATATCTTTGAGACATATATCTATCTGTTGCATGAAGTATATTTTATTTTTATATCCACTTGTACACTTATTATTGTATAGATTTATTGTAAATATATAACAGATCTGAGCTTAAAAAAATGTCATTATTTAATACTTATCATATAATAAGACGTTACCAAATGATTTATTAGAATCATATTAAGAATAACTTTTTTTTAAATATAGGAATATTTATTAATATATCAATGACAAAATGCTTGAGGAAGAGGAGGTATTACTACGAAAAAAATGCAACTATACGTTCATTGTCAACTCAATAAAATATATGTATATTTTTTCCAGTAGCAACCATCATTTTACATACATTATTATTTCGCATACATGGGGCTATATAAATAATTAGTCAAGCAGCGGTTTCTCTTAATAAAACTCAACAGCGTGTCGTCGTATCTCACACGTTACGATTACATTGAAAATTTACATATAAATCTCGATTACGTTTATATTAACTCGGCGTGATATAATATTACATTGCATTTTCTTGAGTCTCAAAAAGCAGCCATTTTCCATTGCAGCGGTAGAAAGCAGAACCGAGCTAAAATATCGAGCTAAATTATGGAGCCATGTTTTTCCTGCTCGCAATATTTACTCGCGCGAAATCAGAATCGCGTCTTTTCTCAGCATTTCATTACAAACATTATGATAAATGTATATATCATATACAGCCTCTATAACATGCAGTCATACGAATAATATAAGTAAAAACTACATATGGTGACATAGGTTTATACGTATCTGTAGTTCTTTTAAACGTAATATTATAGTAACGTCCGTAGGAATCTCGCAGCAGCAAAAATAATGCAGATTTTTCATTTCGCATTCGTTCCACGCGCTACTTCCGCAGTCTTCCCGAGTATGTTGGAGAAATTATTGCCTCGCAATATCACTTTCAGTCGCGAAATTTCCTTTAAAGCATCTTACGTTTCTGAGCAGCTAAAATCATTCCTGTCTATTTCTTACATATTCTAGGACTCTCTTCTTAGTTTACACATTGCACCAGTCGATGATACAGCGATCAAGATATCTTTTCTGAAGTTTCTTTATCACATCTGTTCTAAGAAACTGAAATTACAAAATTATTCACATATATTAACAATTTCTATAAAAAGAGTGTAACCCATGTTTTATCTTTTTAAACATCTCGGAAATATAAAGTTTCATGAAGATTTAGAGTCGTTTAGTTTTCTACATAATCGTACTGGAAAAACACAATGTGAGCGTTATTTCAGTCTGTGAGAGAAGCGAGAGAACGATCGACAATTCAGTTCGAATTGGCGATTTATCTTATGACGTCTTACGAATTAAACGAGGAAAAGATGTCCTGATTGTCGATTGGCGTAGGCTGGCACAATGTGCAATAATAGACATCTTTACACTAGGGCTATATTATTTAACACAGGTCTACTTATGTGTCTCTTTAAGTATGTATATATAAGTCTATATAAATGCCTAATAATACCTATGTCATCTGAATGCGGGTCTGACGCGGCACGTGTAGAAAATTAGCAGAGATGTCATCAAGACTTAAACCCATTTTATACAAACTCTATGTTAACAGTAAAATGACGAAATTAAGTAGCATTATTTCCGCGTCTTTTCTTTTAATTCTAGCGATTCCTCTCGAGCTTCGTAAGGCAAACCCGAATATGTACCGATAATTGAGCTAACGTTTTGTGTTCTTTTCTTATAGTTTTAATTACAATCTAATTGTAAAATTAGTTCTATAATCATTAATGTTTTGTTCGTGCATATTTTTATAAACAATTTTTTTATTAATTTAATATTGATATTGTTAATGCATCTTATAATCTTTTATTGGCAACATTAATTATTTGAAATTAGATTAGATTATTTGAAATGAAATTTTTGAAATATCCTTCAAGAAAGAAGATATGTCTTTTAATAGTTTAATGATTCCGCAATTCTACTCACGTAATCGTGACTAAGAGCTGGGACTGCGTCACAGAAAGAGGTACGGAAAGTCGCTAATCAGGATTAATTGGTGACAATCGATCGGTACGGCCGGGCCTCGTTATACATGTGTAATGGAAAGAAATCTATTTACAAAAGAGTCACGTCTTCTCCGTCAGACCCGGCAGATTCGCCTTTATCGTACACGTATATTTACGATATTACAAAACTAGCTTACACTTATATGGAACACTCAACTCTACAACACTATATAAAACGTAGAAGCTTGTACACCCCGTTGTGTCTCGAGAGTAGCCTACGTGTGTTCGTGTACGACACCATATCCACTCCAGCACCTGCATTTCCTCCGCGAAACAACGGCGCGATTGTCTCTCGCCGCCGTATCCGAATCTCGTGAAATTATATCGGAAACTCTTTCTCTTTCCTTCTCTCGGCCCACTCGCACCTCTTTTTTCATTTTTTTTCTTTTATTAAGACTTCACTGCAAAATTTGTACTACGCTTAGGCCAGCCGTTGCTGCTGAGCTAGTTCGAACGGGCGGTAGTTCCCTGTTCCACGCGCTGTGAACAATACGCAACCGCGGCTTTCGCGCACGTTCCCCATAAAAGTGTTCCTCATTATTGTCGTGTCTAGTGTTTTTTTTTTTATTCAGACTTTGTTGCAAACAAGGGTTAAATAAGGACGATCCCTCTCACGGGAAACTGATTACGGTACCTTTCGGTTGTCGATCCTGTCAGTCGGGTTTTAATTCGATCTCGTGAAATCAGATGACGTATAGAAAGGCTTCGAATGTGTTACGTAAGTGGTATTATGCTCGATGGCGCATCTCGAACTTTTGAAACGGTATACTTTGTTGAATCACAAATAAAATTATGAGAACCCAGACAGCACAAAATCTAAAATCGAGGCATATAAAACATTTTAGATTCTGCAATGGAAAAAATATAAAGGAATAGAATTAAATATTAAATATTAGAGACATAAAAAATTAGGAATATCGAGATTAAACGTAACGCACAATGGATACAAATCGTATCATATTTGTATATATTATATATTGTGCGTTACGTTTAGTCTCTACTAATTTTTAATTTTTCTAATATTTATTACTTTTTTTTTCTGTTCCTAATATTTTTTCATTTGTATATGTCTACTGACCCGTTTTTACCAATGTAGTTTAATTTTAATCTCGGTTCAATTAACTCTTCATCTTCTTCTAATTCTAAGAATTAGAAGAAGATGAAGAGTAAGTTGAACTGAGATTTAAAGTTAATCTGTATTGGCAGAAACGGATATAAAAGATATCTTATATCCAGATATTGGATTTTATGTTATCTGATATGTTACTTATAATATAACGCCACATATTGCAATAATAAATGCGCGTTTATCATATATAATATTATAATATATGCATAAAAATTTTATAAAATAAATTTTATATTAGGCTTTTAATTTGAATTTAATTTGAATTTCTATAAACATGCAAAATAATAATTATTTTATATATCTAATTGACATAAAAACAATAAACAATGTGAAATTTAAACTCTTAAAATTTCTTTCGGACATTTGTCTCTAATTTGATTTCAGTCTTTATGTCAACTAAATTAAAACTGGTCAAATTAATCAGAGAATATAGTAAAATAAAACTATATCGTAATAAAACAAAAAAAACAAGAAGTAAAAGAAGTCCTCTCGAGTCCTCAGATTTCCTTTCTCTTTTACAATTAACTCTTGGATGTATCATTTACTTCCCCACAAACGCATGTCCTACATGTATCTGAATATTTCGGAGGCCTGTCTGGGGGGGGAGGAGGGGCGCATCCGAGAGTTAATAATCCAAACGTTCAGTGATGTTCGCATCATCCGCGTCTCGTCTGTAAATCGCGACGGACGACGATGGTCCGTCCGGATGAGATCTCGCGATCGAGGCGAACGAAGGCGAAACGCGGTGAGGCGGTGGTGGTCGGTCGTATGACGGTCGTCGACGTAGTGGTCCTGATCCTCGGTGTCACCCTCGTCCCGGCGTCGGTGATAAAGTCGTAAAATCACGCGTGCGCGCCGTCGATTACCGCCGTGTTCCCGGTTGCCGTCGTCGTCGTCGTCGTCGATAACTGCTCCTCCGCTTCCATCATCTTCAGCTTGCGCACCACCTGCGCGTGCTCCTCCAGCAACCTGGCGAATTCGCCTCGCCTGGTCTCGGCCTCCACCTGGATCTGCTTGATCCTCTCCCGCGGTCCACCGGGGCTGTCCAACGGCGTCTGCAACGCCGAATTCTGCGAGCTGCTCTCGCGCGACAGCCCGTCCAGGTCGGAGCCGTCGCTGAGAATCGAGTGCGAGTCCACGTCGTCCACGATGAGACTGTAGGTATAAGCGTTATTTAATAACAGTGACTTTAATGGAATGAAATAAATGTCAAATATGCGCAAAAGTTTTTGTGATTTATTTGAAGATCAATTTTCAAGAATACTGATTTCATTGTCCATGCACAGCGTCACTTTATAATTTTTAATAAATAAGGATTAAGCTAAAATAAGAAGAAGTTTGTCATTGATATATTATTAGTGAAAAAGATTTTACCAAGTATAAGCATAGAAATTAAGTTATATGTCAGACTTTATTTGCTTTTGGAAGTTAATAAATTTATTGTGTGGATGGGTGGTTATTTGCTTTTTAAATTTGATTTGAAAGAAATATAATAAACCTAATTAAATCATTTAGATCTAATTTGATCTAATTAGATTTAAATTTGAAAATCAAACAAATACCACATAAAACACACTATACGTGT